GCAGCATCCGATCTTACCTCGACACTACTGTCGGACTCAAAGAATCTTATAATTATTAGCCTATCTAAATGTTTCTTTTCGTTTCATTATTTAAATAACTTAGTTCCGATTTTGGGAGTGCGCAACCACTGTTAAATCTGTAGAAAGGTCAGAAACGATCCTACATTTGAAGGTGGGTAGACACCTGTGGAAAGGGTCAAATCTGAAGTGATTGTCCTCTCATGCAGTCACGATGAAGCAGATAAAAGCAAAATCAGCAAAGGAAAGCAACTTCCAAAATCAGTGCAGCCTGACTTGCCCCGATTGTAAATAAACTTGTGCGAATTAAGCCTCTATCTCCTATTATAAACAAGTCATAATCTACCTTGCAATAATATCCAAATTATTCAAATATACATAATCAGAAAGTCATGGCCCTCGCTCCAAGATGGTACATATCATCCAATCAGTCTGAGGGTAAATGCTTCAGGGTTGATTCTTCGAACAGGTGATTTTGCACCTTGTGATGCAAGGTCGCTGCGGACCTTGCTCCGGATTTAACAATGGTTGTGCATCTCCAGAATCTGAGGATTTAAATAATAAGCAGAAATACGTATGTAAATAAACTAATATTAGTAATCATCAATCTAAAAAAGACAATTCCTAGATCAAGCCTTAAAACTGCTCTTGAAAAACATCTATTACTCCTAGTACTGACTATTTATATAATGAAAGAAGAAAAACACGCTTATCTCTACAAAATATTCATGATTTCTGACTGAAATCGAATACATTGTTCCTTCGAAAATTCTGTTTTGAACATCACTGCGTTTAAATTCAAGAATGCGCATATTTGCGAGCAAAATCTAACCAAAACTACTTGTCTGAGTGATGGACTGATTGATATTATTTACCAGCAAAATATTTTTCATGTTTCTCAACATATCATCGCCTCTGAGGGCTTATACTTTCTATTAATTATCTCAGTGAAGAGTCACTTAAACATGAGTCGAAGCGAATTACAGCCGTAAAAGAAGCTCGCCTAATGAAGTATGGTGATTTACTAGTTCGTTGTGGCATAAAAACTGTACAACCGTTATGTACGCGTAACGCAGAAGTCATAAACTTGTTATTAGTTTGGAAGCTGCAAAACAACGACCGGCAACTGCAGTATGTAATCGCTCATTTTCTAGGATTCGATGCGTGTGCGTCCCGAGTTTGATGTCGGCCTCTTATCACCATATCATCGCTACCCCCTCCAACAGACTGTCGCAACCTCGATAACAAATCGCGCGATTTTCAAGCTCAAATAATTTCAATGCAATAAAATGCGCGTAGAATCGTTGATTTTAAGGAAGAATGCGATGATTTTCACGCGGACTTTCCTGTCAGGCGCAATAGCGCGACAGATTTTATAAAGACGTTGATGGAACTTTTACAAAAACCTCTCTGTCGGAAAAATGTCGTTGGAGAGAAAGAATAGCAAGACCGGCATCTATATGAAGTCTTTTTTTTTAAAGAAGTAAATGGTCACATTCGGTGACATAGATATTAGCTTGCACGTATAAAGCGACATTTCACGATTTACTTCCTGTTTTTTAAAGAAATTCTCTCACGGACACATCAATCCAGCATTCTTTACTTGCTTTCCTCGATTGCTGATTGCTTATGATATGAGAAGCCAACAACCTGCAATGACGTTTGCTTGTTAACAAAGTCGGCACATGAATTCCTAATTCAGCAACTATCAATTTATTCTAACACCTCATAGTAATTTTCATAATGACTCAGTATCTGAATATTCAAATAACAATTGATTTTAAATAAATGTTCTATCATAAATGTGGTACATTTCAACGATTTATTATCATTATTTCCCTGCATTAAGATGCCCTGCAAATCCTATAGCAATTGCGGCGGTGTAGCAGTTGGCTAGTATTCGATTGCAGGAATTTGATAATCGTTTCATAGTTTCCTTGAAGAATTATGAATTCAGTATTCAACAATGCCAGTATTAATCTTTTTCAGCGAATTTATGGTAGGTCTGCATAATACCACGTAAACTTTCCTGTACTAATATTTTACTATTCATTCAGAGGTAATCCAAGTAAAATATGTCTGTTTAGACAACCACAAATTAGTGAGAATGGAGTTTTAGCCGTCCAAATGCAGCATACATAAAGACAGGCACGCAGTACTTCTTTATTGCTAGTTAACAGCAGGAAGAAGCGAAACACCATTGCTCAATTTTGCCTGTCGTGTTACACCTGTGGTTATGTAAGATGTTTGATATACTACTTAAGCAGATTTTGTGTTATTGCATATTTGTCGTTTGCTCTTATGCAGATGTTTTCTTTTTTAGCTCTGATTGTATGTACTTTATACTGCAGACATGGGGCTGCTGATGAAAATGGTTTTTTATCCGACTTTGCTGTACAACGTGATCCGCAATCGCATAAGTAGCAGTGATTGGCCATGGTACTGCCGAATCGACGAGACCGTTGTTCTCGGAGCAGTACCGTTCAAGTCTATGGTTGACAAGGTACTCCACGCTTACTGTCATTGCGGTAGCATATCTTTCGAAGGCACTGTAAAAACTAGTCGGTTTCCTTGACGCAAATGCGATATTTAAAGTGCGGCCCATCGTCAGAAGTTTTCTTGATCATTCATGTGCTCATTAATTAGTTCATTCATTGGTTACTTAGTAGAGTACATTCATCTGGTCTTCGGATGTCCTTTAACCTACTGTCAAGTTTCCCCTAGT